CCCACCCCCTACCCCCAAATATAATCCACTCTGTAACCCTCATTGTATACTCCTACGATAAAACATCTTATATGAGCACATTGAGGTTTACCTCATTATTTAAAGACTGTCTCATATTTCATTAATTCCCCCTCATAATTTTAACTTGTTAATGGATATTTGAGTTATTGCAGCAAGAATCTGTTGAATATTCTTTATATCTATTTAGAAATTATCTCCTTGTCAAGTGAGAGATATGTTTTAAATTAAGATAGATTATTACCAAGTTTCTGAATGCATCTATATCTCTTGGGTTGTATCCTTGGCACATTCATGATTGTGAAGTTTGGTGCTGGGACTTGTTTTTTAGCATTGTAATGTGTGAACTGATTCAATCCTTATGATTAATCTTTTTTTAATTTTTATTTTTTTATGATTAATCTTAAGTATTAGTTTCCTATAGCAGTTGTAGTTACCATAAATTTAATTGCTTAAAACAGCACATTCTTTCACCATTTTGGAGACCAGAGTCCTACATTCCACCTGGGAACAGAGAATCCATTTTCTTACCTTTTCCACTTTCTAGAGGATTCTTGAATTTCTGGGCTCATGACCTTTCACCTTCCATTTTCAAAGCCTTCAACAAAGGGTTTTCTATTCTCTTTCTATTTCTCTGCTTCCTACCATCCCAGTTGCTGTTTGTGTCTGTATTTCTTCTTCTGCCTCCCTTTTGTAAAGACATTGGGCCTGTCTGGATATTGTTGTTGTTGTTAGGTGCTATCAGACCTGAACCTCCAGTGAGTTTTCAGAGGCTGTATATTGCGAGGGAGGAGACTGCCCATCTTTTCTCTGTAGTATTGCTGGTGGATTTGAACTGTGTGCCTTTAGTGTTGGCAGTGCAACTCCTTACCACGAGGCCAGAACTCCCTAATACTCTCTCAGTTTAGAACCATCTGCAAAGTCCCATGGGCATGTGAAAAAATGTTTGGGAGATAAGATTGTGGATGTCTCGGAACTCACTATTCTGCTGACCACACCCAGTAGATTTTGTTTTGTAGCTGAAGATAACAGAGAGATAGAGTAATTTGCCAAGGTCCTGCAGAAAGTGACAGAGCAGAGATTTGAACATAGATGTCCAGTTCCAATATTTCCTTGCCCTTAACTGTTAACTCTTGCAGTCTCTGAACTCTCTAATTGAGGTTTTCAAGAGCTCTGGTGGCACCATGGTTAAAATATTTGGCTGCTAACCAAATGGTGGGCAGTTCCACTGCTCTCCAGGAGAAAGATGAGGCAGTCTGCTTCTGGAATGATTTGCAGCCTTGGGAAAGCTGTGTGCAGTTCGACTCTCTCCTACGGGGTTACTGTGATTCCACTCGAGGGCAGTAATTCGGCTTTTGGTTTTGGTGTATTAAGCATTGGTTCAGCAATACTGTAGGACATCCTGAGGAGCAAAAGAAGCACACTAGTGCTAGTTGCCATCGAGCTGACTCCAGTTCGTGGTGATGCTGTGTCAGAGTAGAACTGAGCTCCATAAGGTTTTCATGACTGTGGTCTTCTGGAAACAGAATGCCAGACCTTTCTTTGGAGGTATCTCTGCTCTGCACAGACTGGAACTGATAGTCTTGCCCTGTAGCTAAATGGTCCAAGTCGGTGCCACCCAGAGACTGTAAATGAAGCCTAGTTCTCTATAAATGTAATATAGTGCTATCATTGAAGGCCTCCTTCATCATTGCAGTGAAGAGTCTATTGAGTTAGGCCTCTGACTTTCTGGTTTTCTTTGCATGGTTCTAGGCATTTGTGGGTTTTGATCATTTTGTATTTAACGTAAAAGGATTACTTTAGCAGCTGTAGGCTGTATTGCTCTATTTGATTTCTTCATATTCTGTGGTTCTAACATTTCTTGTGATTTGAGTAGTATTGTTTCTTTTGGAAAATCTTAAAGGACAAGATCCTCCTTTTTAAAGGTTAAGAGTTTATCATCATGGTTCAAATCCACCAGATGCTCTGCCGGGAAAGGAGGGACAATCTCCTCCTGTACCAGTCAGATCCGATTTGACGGTACACACACACACACACACACACACACACACACACACACACGAAATAATAATAAAAAAAATTTTTAAAAAAAAGAGTTTATCATCGTTGCCATTTGAGTGCATCCTCAAATGCTAAATTTGAAGAGAGCCTTATTTTTGGTCTCATAACCTTCTCTATTATTCTTTTTTTTAAGACCAGAAAGTTATTCTGGTGGCTCTTTATTGACACTTTTGCTGACACTTTTGCACATTAGTGAAAGACATTTTATTAATTTATCACATTTATTGAGTTTTTGAGGTATTAGGGATGCATGGTTAGTAAAAGCTTGATTCACACCTTCTTATAGTGTACTATTCAGGAGGTAGAAGGCAGATTTCACACATGAAAACACGTAAAAGACAGTTCCAATTTGATGTGTTACTAACTAAGGAAAAGTGACTTGAAGGACACTTTTACAAGATGGTCAGGGGAGATCTTAACAGAAGTGGCTTATTTAAACAGAACCTGATGGGTCATATTAACTGGAGAAATAGGCCTCTAGTTAGAGCGGATAGGAATATGCACAGGTGGGATGGCCAGTTTGAGGCATAAAAGTATTGTGAGGAGAGGGAGAAGTAGGGAATAGGAGTG